ATAATGTACATTGTTTCCACTGACAGGGGGGGGGGGGTGTGTGTATCTATATTATTTAACGTCGTGAAATTTTTTTTTATTTTTAATTTAAAAATGTAGTAAAAATGATTGAAAACAAAAAATAATGTGCCTTGCAATTATTTTTTTTTTTGATGTATAAATAGTAATTACCATTCACACCGGGACATGGGCGGAACTAAAACCACATAAAAAAATTTTTTTTTTTTTTTTTTTTTTCATTTCAAAATTGCTCATAATAATTAAGATAAAAATTATAAATCCAAATCGTAATTCAAAAAAAAAATTTTTTTGTTTTTAAATTGAAATTAAGTTTTTTTTTTTTGCCTTTTTTTAGTCATGATTTCAAGAATCGATGAGAAATTAAACTCCCCTTTATAATACACGTGCATTTATTGATTTGCTTTGCTCCCCAACCGAGTTATTCAAAATATTTATATACTCACATTGTTTATCGAAATTTCTAGAATAATTAAAATCTACTAAAACACTTAATTGTAATAAGAAACACCGACAAATTTTTTCTTTTTTTGTCATCACGAAAATGATTTTAATTTTATTTTACCTGCAATCACTGTATCACTAAGATCATATTTTCCACCAGATTTAGGAAAGTCTTTTAATTTTCTTCCACTTAATTTTAATTCTCCACTTAAATGAGCTTCTTCTAAAATTCGTTCTAATGATTTTGTAAGCTGATTCTGCAAATGCCCGTTCATATTTATAACGGACAACACCTCAATCATCACTCACATTTCGTCGACTGAATTATAAAGATTTTAAGGTGATAGCTTTTACAATATCAGTTTTGCCAACTAATACATATGTATTTTCCGTTCGACTTGTAGTCTAAATTAACTCGTAATTAAATTAACAAAAAAAAAATTTTTTTTTGCAATTATTTGTTGAGTCAGTAATTATTATTTAAAACATTTTTAAAAGTCTGTAAAAATTTATTGCGTTTCGCTTAAGGTAAAATTTTGCGAATTAAAAAAAAACATTTTTCTTTTGACATTTAGAACTTACAGTTGGCTACACTATTTTTATTAAATATTCTCTTTTGTCGTTTAAATAAAGTTTGAATACAAAATCCACGAGTGTCACACAGTTACCCCGTTCCTTAACATGCAATTTGTTTTATTTATTTATGTTGAGCAATTTATATAAAAAAGAAACTATGGGATTTTTTGGAAATAGCTCTGCATTTGATTCCATTGTAGGTAAGTAAATAATTCATCATACTAAGATTACTCATATCTTTTATAAACAAGTTATTACAATTTCATTTTTGATAAAATAAAAAAAAAAAAAAAATGTATATATTCATTATTTTAATTGAAATTTTTATTTTAATTAAATGTGTAAATCAAATTTCAATTACTTGAAAACATTTTGAAAATATTTTTTAAGCAATTCAACAACAATTTATTCGGAATAATTTTAACTTCAATTTTCAAATTTTGCTTTTTTACATATTCAATAAGTGATTATTGTTATTTATGGTGTAATATTCCTAAAAAATCATTAATTACAATTATATACCATTCTAAAAGAGTGTTATTTGAAATTTTCAAAATTTTATCGATTAAATAGTAAAAAACAATTATCGAATTTAGAAATCAAAATTTAAACTATCTTTCAATTTAATTATTATAATTTATTTAAGCGATTGAAAAAAAATTATAATTTAATAATGATTTTATTTTAATAATACTCTTTTTGCATCAAATTTTCAAATCATTTACAATTCTATGAGAAATTAAAATTAGATAAAGCTTGTTCGATTATCAGCATTATCATTGATAACTACTTTTATGACTCATAAAAAAAAAAAAAACGAATATGAAAATTCAGTATTTTATTAAGACTTATACAAATAATTAATAAACTGTCAATCTTATCATAGAACAAGCAACTAATGAAAAAAATACATCAGAAGAATGGGGGAAAATTTTGGATATATGTGACAAAGTTGGAAATTCATCTCAAAAAGCTAAAGATTGTTTATCTTCAATTTTAAGAAGAGTTAAGCATCAGGATCCTCATGTTGCCTTACAAGCTATTACAGTAAGTTTTAAAACATTTTCCTTCCTTTTTTTTTTTTTTTTTTTTTTTTAGAAAAAGAAATGTTATAAGTGAAATAAAAATTTTTATTTTAGTTACTAGAAGCATGTGTAAATAATTGTGGTAAACCTTTTCATCTGGTAGTGGCATCGAGAGAATTTGAACAAGAATTTAAAAAAATAATTAGTAAAGGTCATCCGAAAGTATGTGAAAGGTTATTATTTCTTTTAAGGTCGTGGGCTGAAGGTGATTTTAAATCTGATCCACAGTTAAATTTAATCCCTTCTTTATATATAAAATTAAGACAAGATGGCATAGAATTTCCTTCTCCAGAGTCTTCTAAGGTATATTGTCTATTCTCTTTTATAATTTTCTTAAATTTTTACAATTATTATTTTTACAATTTATTTTATTTTACTGCAGACACCAAAACCTAATCAAATATCGAGGGATCCTAATGCAGTAGATAGTCAAAGAGAAGTTGATGATATAGCCAAAGGTATTATTTATTTTCTCTCCGTCTCATTCTTGTTCGTCATTTTCTAAATTCATTCTTTTTGTAATTTTTTAGCAATAGAATTATCATTAAAAGATGTATCCCTTCAATCGAAATCTAAAGGAGGTCCCAGTGGATCTACTTTATATCCTTCGACTGCTATTAATACACCTTCCGAAGGTAGAAAAGTTCGTGCATTATATGACTTTGAAGCGGTAGAAGAAAATGAACTTACATTTAAAGCTGGAGAAATAAGTAGGTTTTTTTTTGAATGGTATACATTGGCATACCAACACTTCCAAGCTGATTTAATGTATTGACACACTTTTCGATGGAACATTCATTCGAATAAATTCTATACCTTTTTTCTGTTTCATAAGTTTATGTTACTGATGATGGTGATCCGAATTGGTGGAAAGGAAATAATAAAACAAGTGAGGGATTGTTTCCATCTAATTTTGTGACGGCAGATTTGTCTGTAGAACCAGAACAAACAAGTTAGTAATCTTTAACGATTTAAAAAGTTTTCATATAAATATGTTTTACTTATTAAATTTTAAATTTTTTTTAGAGTTAGAAAATAAGAAAACCGTGCAATTTAATGATTCAGTTAAAGTGAAAAAAATAAAAGATCCAACGGAAGTTGTTATAGATGAAAGTAAAATGGACACTTTGTTACATTATTTACACGAAGCGGATCCTCGAGACTCGAGCGGTGATTCACCGGAAATGAGAGAATTAGCAGGTGAAAATAATATTTAAGGTTAATTTTTTATATATATATTCTCTTTGTAAATATTAAAACATTTAATTTTTTTCATTGAGCAGAAGAAGTTTACGCCATGGGTCCCTTAATCGATGCAAAATTAGAAAAAGTCGATAGAAAGCATGCTCAATTGACGCAATTAAGTTCGGATTTAGTCGAAGCGTTAAATCTTTATCATTCTTTGATGCGGGAACCAACCGGTCCAGGACCTTCATTCATTCAAAAACCTGGTAATTACGGGTACATGCCGATTCCCAATCCTCCTCCGGTACATCAACCTCAGGTAATTTACATGATTTTAACGGAAAGTTTAATTTTTACAACCGTTAAATTTTAAAAAAAAATTTTTTTGCTGTCGTTCAGTTTAACGGAAACGCTGCTTCCAATCAACCTTACGTACCCGCAAATTATTCGGTCGTTCCCGGAAATATTCCACAGCCGTTTCCAAACGGACCGCCGCCACCACCACCACCACAAGTAGGACATTACATAGCAGACCCGTCGAGATCGTATCCCGTCGTGAAGTGAGTTGATGTATATGTTGTCCATTATCAAAATGTCGATACCTTTTTTTCTTGTTTTTTTTTTTTTTTTTTATTAACCGTTATAAAACTTGATTAATTTAATTATTCTACAGCAATGTACATCCGTACGTGAATTCTATCGTTAGCACTCCCCCACAATCTCAGCAAAGTCCTTCACAATCTCAACTTCAACCCTTACACCAAATTCAAGGCTCTCATCAATTGTCTACTACCGGTAATAATAATAATACTAATAATAATAATAATACTAGTGGAAGAAATGCACATCAAACAAATTATCAAGGGAAACCACCGCTTTTGTAGGGATAATAATAATAATAATAATAATAATTTAAAAGGGTCGTTTGTTAATTTTAAAACCCGAACAATTTAATTTATATATATATATATATATATATATATATATATATATATATAAAAATGGCAACGATTTCAATGATTAAAAGACAAAAAAAATAATTTTTACGTATACATATACACATACATATAAATATATATATATATATAATTTTACTTAATGTTAATTACCGTAATATTATTCAATTAATATTTTATTAAATCATTATAATAAAATGTATTTTTTTTCCGGGTCGTCGTCTTCGTCGTCGTCGTCGTCGCCGCCATATTTTACGTTTCCTTCAAAAAAAAAAAAAAAAAAAATTATTCATGAGTTATGTCGACGACGATAATTTACGAGGAATTTTTCTTTTTTTTTCATTTATTTCGCAGCTAATTTTTTAAAAATATTATTATTATTATTATTATTATTATTATTTATACGTTTTTAATAAATAAAAACGAAACGTAAAAGGAGAATAAATAAAAAACTAACTTTTGCCAAAAAAAAAAACAAAACCGGTTTTATTTATTATTAAAAATATTATTATTATTATTATTAATTGTTTGTGAGACGGGAAAAATTATCGGTTTTAAAATTTTAACAACAAATTAATTATTTTATATATATAAAATAAATAAATATTTACATATTATGTTCGGTAAAATAAATAAATAAAAATTCGTTTTTACTATCAAATCCCCTTATATATATATATACATATGTTAAATATATATTTTATAATAATTTACAAAAATTGTATAATTCAAGGAA